GCGCTTGCCGCTCATGGGCCTAAGCCATGTTGCCGCTTGTACGCGAACATGTGATACATAAATATATATCATATGTATACATATATATATTAGTTTCGAATTATTTTCAACCACTTTCCACCTTTCAACTGTCAGCCGGTATGGTGCTTCAAGTGACTTCAACAAGTGTCCTGTATTTTATTTAAAACCATAGTTTAACGAATCCGGTTTGTAATACATTTTGTATTGCTTCTCTTCGTTCGTCTTTTTGTTTCATTTTAAAACAGTTGTCAAATTTTATTCCATTTCAAAATTAATGAAGAGTGTTTTAATTACAAACAGGCGATTATTCATTTTTTATGATACGCAACGAACTTATTACTTTAATGTTTCATAAATTTCGTTTAGAATTCTGTGCATACAGAAATGAATAAAGAAGAATATATGTTGTATTAGTATGAGTTTAAAACCATTAACTGAGTTAAGAACAGTTATAAAGGAATAACCAACTCATATTCTTAAACACGGGACAGTTCATATTTTTTACGTGCGTTTGCATATGCGCTATATTGAAGGCAGCACATTTTTCCAAAAAATGTAAATACCGTTTGTTTCACCTATATAACCATACATCTATACACTGTGTGTATTAAATAAAATGAACTTGGAAGCATCAATAGTCGAACGTTTACAAAAGCTGAGGCAGTGGCAGTTAGAACAGCAAGAACGGTTATTGAAACAACAGCAGATTCAAAGAGAGATGTTATCTCAAAAACAAGATTGTATGTTCAAAGCACTCGAGTTATCTATACAAGAACTAGACAGTCAAGATGCATCAAGCACAAGTAATTTGAATTCAACTGTAGGAGATGGCGAACTTGATAACAAAAATTTAATTACCCAGTCGCAAACAAGTGAAGATTGTGCGCGTGCATTGAATAACAGTGAACTTGTAGATAATCAGGATATAAATAATATCTTACAAGGCATAACGTCACAGCAACAGTCTCCTGAAAATAAGCTTATGGAGAATAGTATTACAAATCGTACAGAACAAAGATATTTAAATGATAAGGAATATATTAATAAATAATACTTTTATATTGATATTCATACTAATGAACACATGAGAAACGTTTTAAATAATGTAAACATCATCGTTAATAAAAATAATTTGAACACACTCAACTTAATTAACTTTAAAGACTCGTTATAACCTCAAAGTTGATTATGAAACATCCAATCCGTCAAATATTGGCAAAGCTCAAATTTTTTCGTAACTGATATTACCTTCGTTGAAAACTAATAGAATTAAACGTGTGTTTTTAAACATGTATAACTAAATAACTATGATGTTTCAGCTATAATAAAACAATGCAGGAATGAATGGTTTGTTTACCGTTTAAGTCCTGTGAATCCTCATAAATTCGGTTACATTGACAAAAGTTAACTGTCAATACGTTCCGATCATGTTGAAAAGCACCGTTAAGATTTTCGTTGTACAAGTAAATATAACAGTTTAACTAATGAGCAGCTCATGAATCATGAGTTCAGTTTACGTCAAATTTTTACATGAATGACCAGTGAATGCCCATAGCACAGTATCCTAATACTGTGGTTGTGGACGTTGTGGTATGTGCTTATTGCTTAGTCTTAGTAAACCTCCGCCAGGCAATGTTGTAAGTTATAGATGATGGTACATGAGATTTGAGAAACGTCAACCTTCAACCACAGTGCCACGCGTTGAGGAATAAAGAACCTTAAAAACTGGAAATCGAAATGTCCAAATAAACCGCAACGAAGATTTATTATGAAATTCTAAACTTTAATTAAAATCTTCAATTGATCGAAAGTACTATCTACAAACACAAGCTTAAAAATTTATATTTTTCTTCTATAATGATATACAGCGCTTGCCGCTCATGGGCCTAAGCCATGTTGCCGCTTGTACGCGAACATGTGATACATAAATATATATCATATGTATACATATATATATTAGTTTCGAATTATTTTCAACCACTTTCCACCTTTCAACTGTCAGCCGGTATGGTGCTTCAAGTGACTTCAACAAGTGTCCTGTATTTTATTTAAAACCATAGTTTAACGAATCCGGTTTGTAATACATTTTGTATTGCTTCTCTTCGTTCGTCTTTTTGTTTCATTTTAAAACAGTTGTCAAATTTTATTCCATTTCAAAATTAATGAAGAGTGTTTTAATTACAAACAGGCGATTATTCATTTTTTATGATACGCAACGAACTTATTACTTTAATGTTTCATAAATTTCGTTTAGAATTCTGTGCATACAGAAATGAATAAAGAAGAATATATGTTGTATTAGTATGAGTTTAAAACCATTAACTGAGTTAAGAACAGTTATAAAGGAATAACCAACTCATATTCTTAAACACGGGACAGTTCATATTTTTTACGTGCGTTTGCATATGCGCTATATTGAAGGCAGCACATTTTTCCAAAAAATGTAAATACCGTTTGTTTCACCTATATAACCATACATCTATACACTGTGTGTATTAAATAAAATGAACTTGGAAGCATCAATAGTCGAACGTTTACAAAAGCTGAGGCAGTGGCAGTTAGAACAGCAAGAACGGTTATTGAAACAACAGCAGATTCAAAGAGAGATGTTATCTCAAAAACAAGATTGTATGTTCAAAGCACTCGAGTTATCTATACAAGAACTAGACAGTCAAGATGCATCAAGCACAAGTAATTTGAATTCAACTGTAGGAGATGGCGAACTTGATAACAAAAATTTAATTACCCAGTCGCAAACAAGTGAAGATTGTGCGCGTGCATTGAATAACAGTGAACTTGTAGATAATCAGGATATAAATAATATCTTACAAGGCATAACGTCACAGCAACAGTCTCCTGAAAATAAGCTTATGGAGAATAGTATTACAAATCGTACAGAACAAAGATATTTAAATGATAAGGAAATCTGTGATACAAAAGGTAATATAAAAATAATAATAACTACTCCAGAAGAGAAACCGCAGATGGAACAATTTCAAATGGATGGAGTAGCACCACTGACGCCAGATAAGTCACTTGCTAAACGTCTTTGTATTGATGATGTACCGATTCCATCCCCTAGAAAGGACTTTCATACATTGCTCGAAGAAAGGCTAAAAGATAGTGAGAATGAATTTTCCGGAAGATGTAACGTTAAGGAACATATAGAAAAAAAGCCGTTTTTAAGAAAAGGCGAGGGTTTATCAAGATTCAAGTTAAATAAAAATATTTCCAGTCCAAATACAAAAGAATTAAGCAGATCTTTAACTAATACGCAATTTAAATGTTCCAGTAATGATAAAAGAGCTAACAAAAATATTCAACATTCGAAAGCTGCACAATTACCAAAAAATATGCGTGTGAAAAAAACTTTAAGCCTCAAGAATGTACCATTACCAAAAAAGAAGGCTCGCAATGAATCTGAATCCAAGTCGACTCCTCACTTAGAAGATTGTGTTCACGAATCAAAAGAAAGTATAGAATCAAACACTGTAGAGTTTCAGTCTGGAACGCAAAAGGAATTGGAAGAAGTACGTATATTTGAGTTGATGGAAGAAAAAGCAGAGAATTCCAGCTTTTGTTCTACATCTAGTGCAGTCATTGCCTTTTTACAACAATCGACACCATTTAAAATAAAAAAGTATGGACACAAAGCAGAAAGTATGGGTATTGAGAAACAGCTTAGTCCAGCAGTTAAAGATAAAACAGCTACAAAGTCTGACCAAGCACATACAAATACAACCCCGAGTAAGAATACTGATACTTATTCCAATTTGTTGCCTTTTATTAGAGAAAATTTAAGCGAATTATATAAAAATATGTTTATGCAAAGTGCCAGTGAAATCAAAATGTCAGAATTGAATGGAAGCAGAGATGCTTTACTTAATACTCAAATTCAGCCTGTACATAATCAACAGAACTTGTATAATGTTCCTACTAATGCGAATAGTAACGAAGCAGATGTTAGTCTTCATGTCAGATTCTCTGAGTGTAATCAATATAAGACAATTGGGTTAACAGATACGTCAACTATATCAACTGATTCGGTGATGACAAAACGTTTTCAGGATGATAAAGTCTGGAGCGATTCTTCAAGTCCAGACACATCTATGATGGAAACCCCACCAGAATACGATAGTACAATCGAAAATAATGATTTTATGTGCAATGCAGAAATAAGTCAATATGTTTATGATAAGGAAGAACTAAACCTTTTAAACACTTTAGCGACAACACCCAAAAATAACATTCACAGTATTAAATCATCGAATATGGAAAAATGCGATAACGATAATGACGATGTAGTTGTAATCGGAGATGAAGAAAATCAGAAAAACTTGGAGGAGACGAATGAAACTATTTTTAAATCGGAACTCTTAAAATATCGTTTAGTAGAGCTTGAAAAAGAAATTGACATATTTCGTAAAGAGAATATAGCTTTATCTATGCAGCGAAAACAATTACAAGAAGATTACAGAACCTTGTATAAAGAGTTTTCGGAAAAAGAAAAAAATTTTGAGGAGCATAGAAAACAGATGGATGACCGATGGCACGAAGAAAAGAAAAAACTAGCGCGCGAAAAAGCTTCGTTGGAAAATCGAATGAGTGATTTACAAAAGAAAGTACAACAGCATAGGCTAGAAAGGCAAGAACTTCAATGTTTAAGGGACGCGATGGAAAGGTTGGCACAGGAGGTTCATGCAAAAGAAACCAAACGGAACGCGATGGAATACAGACATAAATGCCAAATGAGAATCTTAAAAGCAGAGAATTTGAGGCTCAAGGATGAAGTGGAAAAATTGCAGACTTTACTGAAAAGTAAAGTTAAGAATGTAGAAAAGCCTGAAACTGCAAATACAAGAGCAATCCATCAAATCAATAGAGTGTGTAACTTGCAGCTGAAACGAATTCCGAGAATTAACAGTTCTTCATCGGACGGAGGCGAGAAATTGAAACCAATGAAAACTCTAAGCACGGCTAATGAAAAAAATGCAGATGCAGGCAAAGAACAACATAATGGCAACAGTAAAAATGTGAATGAAAAACCACGAAGAAGCCAGGCACCTATAGCAGATGTTGATAAGCGAAATTTATGCGAAATTCCAAGAATTAACAATTCCTCATCGGACGAATACGAGAAGTTGGAACCAATGAAAATTCTAAGCACGGCTAATGAAAAAAATGCAGATGCAGGCAAAGAACAACATAGTGACAACAGTAAAAATGTGAATGAAAGACCACGAAGAAGCCAGTTATCCAGAGCGGATGTTATTAAGAAGGGAAATTTATACAAACAATTAATCGAAGAGATAACGTCCAGAATGGCAGAAACTAAAGAAAGTTCCGCTCCTCTTGAAAACTCCGAACTTGAAAATATACCGAAATCAGCTAGTGAATTGAGAGTATTAACTGACACAACGAACACTATGAAAAGTAATTGTGAAACCTCCGAATCTTTAAAAGCAAATACTCAAATGCATCAAGAAAATGATGAGAAGAAATCAGTATTAGCGAGTGAAGAACCTAATTCAAATATTGAAAATGTTCCCCCTAATCATGAGGTTGAAGAACCCATAAAACAGGTCGTACATCCTGACGGTTCGGTCGAAGCCATATATTTGAGAGGAAACGTTAAGAGAATCTTTCCTGATCAAGGCCTAATTAGGTATACCTATCACAATGGAGATATTCATGAACTCAATAAAAATGGAGTAGAAAAATATTTTTACGCTTCAGCAGGTACATGGCAAACGAAGACGGTAGATGGTTTAGAAATTTTAGAATTCGCTGAGTATGTATCCAAGAAGTTTCGCCATAATTATAATACTGAATTTTTTTGTTTCACTACTTTCTATGTTTTACAGTGGACAAATTGAAAGACGAACGGCCGATGGTAAAGTGGAAGTATTATTTCCGGATGGTGCTTACAAAATTTCAGAATCCGACGGTTTCCAGAAATGGACAATGCCAAATGGATTGTATGTGGAAATTTTTCCGAGCGGTGAGAAGTTTGTTATCTGGCCAAATGGACAACGTGAAATACATACTAAAACTTATAAGGTAACAATAAACAATTTTTATGTTATAAACAATAATGTGTAAACAATAATATTGACTGTTAATGCTTGTGTGATTTAGAAACGAGAATATCCCGACGGTACTATTAAACTACTTTATCAGGATGGCACTCAGAAAACACAGTATTCAAGTGGTAGAATTCGCATAAGAGACAAAGATGGTAATCTTTTGACGGATTCCTACGAGTCAGACATAGAAAGTTCTATGCCAAGGAGTAAAGAATAGTATTTTAATTCCATGTATGAAATCCTCCTTTTATAGTACTTTCCAAGACGTTAAAAGAATGCAATTTCATGTATTTGAAATAAAGACTGAATTTTTTGTAAGCATAAAAAGCATAAATTTCCTAACATCCAATAGCCTCCTATTGCTCCTATTCCTGAATTATGAAGAAATAAGATTAGATACACTACATTTTCTTAAGCTTAGCCTCTGTTATGCCTAATGATTTGTCTATCGTCATAAAGGAATTAAACAAACTTTTGGCGATTCTCAATTTCATCATTATTTTAGACACACCTTAACACTTGTATTCCGCATCGCAGTGCGCGTTCGGCTTTAGATCAATGCTGGATAGTAAATCGTTTTGAAAATTTGATCGTGTCAAGTGGTGTCAAGTTGTTTAAACGATGTCTATGAGTTCAAGTTTTCGAAAATGGTTTACAGGATTCGGAGCGATAGGTGGTGCGATGCTTTTTTATCCACACGACGATAATAATAACTTATCACAAAAACATAATTCGTGGATGGCCTTTTCTTCGCCATGGGTTAAGTGGAATCATAACTGGGATAGGTTGTATTCTTTACCACTCTGTTATTATATTTGTTTCTAGCTAATCATTTTTATTTATTTTATGTGTAAACTTATTTATAGACGAGATCCCAAAAGTTTGGTAAGACCAATGAAAATAAGCAATGAATCTGATCAAACTGCATACAACAAGGAAGTAGCAAATAAAATGGCAAAATCTGTACGTCATATAATTTTAATTCGACATGGGCAATATAATATAGATGCTAAAACAGACACAGATGCAAAACTTACAGATCTTGGTTGGTATCTTCTATGTCATTAATAATTATGATGTATATGAATATGGATGTTATTTTTTTAAATGCTATAAAGGTAGACAACAAGCTGAAGAAACAGGAAAGAGATTAAAAAAGTTGAATTTTCCATATTCTGTACTTATTCATTCGACAATGACTCGAGCAGAAGAAACTGCTAAAATTATTATGGAAAAGGATTTTAAAGACGTAGTGGTAAAGTCTGATTCTCTCCTCAATGAGGGTGCGCCAATACCACCTGAACCACCTTCACCTAATTGGAAACCTGAAGTAAATGTAGGTGCATCACTGATTACAAATTAAATAATTTATTTGAAATAATGTCGCATAACATTAACACATTTCAGTTTTATAGAGATGGACCTAGAATAGAAGCTGCATTTAGGAAATATTTTCATCGTGCCGATTTCACGCAGGAAAAAGATTCTTACACGATTCTCGTCTGCCATGCGAACGTTATTAGATATTTCATATGCAGGTAAATTAACTTTTACAATTCATGTAATTCACTAATAAATAGTCATTTTCGTCTGTGATATTCATATTCATTTCAGAGCATTGCAATTTCCACCTGAACGTTGGTTACGTTTAAGTTTAAACCATGCCAGTATTACATGGATCTCCATTCACCCTGACGGCATGGTGAAATTATGGACGTTCGGTGACACAGGATACATGAAACCTCAACTTATTTCATGTTAAAATACATGTCATGTTATTGAATAAAAACGACTTTTGTCATGGATATTTCGGATCTTATATCATCTTTGGTATATGAAATTTTTAGAAATAACCTTAGATAACTGAATCATGGTAGCTATACAAACATTACAGTCTGTTTAAAGAAACTATTACATTATAGAAGAAAGTTTTTTACATATCCACAGTTAAAGACTGATAAAAATGTATGTGCGTCTAATATAAAAAATTTTTATAATACATTTCAGAAAACCAATGACAAAATACATATATATGTATAATTCATTGCTACGTAATTTGTCATGTATTAGTTAAAATGTTTTCAAGATAAATGTGTACATACACTAAATATTAATACTGTAGTGTCAAAATATAATGTAACAATAAGAAATATATTAAAATCTGTCTAAATACTTAAATTAACCAACTGATCAGATACTGTTTTTATAATGACAATATCATGTAACATTAAAATTAAAAAATAATAAATTCAAATTTGCCGGCAAATGAATGACGATTGGATAGTATAAATGAACTTTAATAATTTCAATTATTACGCATTATTTACTACATTTATGTTAGTTATATCATATTGTTTGATAGAACGACGGTTGCTTTTCATTTTTCATTACATCTTTCTATGGCCGATAAAATATACAGAGAAAAACAAAGTCGTTCAATGTGTTTCACGTGCGGTTAGCGCTGATTTAAATCGTTAGGAGATTGAACGATTGAAGTGGTCATATTGTTTACTTTAAAAATGCCTATACGTTTGAATTTTAAGAAATGGGTCGCTGGATTTGGTGCAATAGGAGGCGCGATACTTTTCTATCCAAATGACAAAGAACATGATCCGTCGTTACAAAATCAACATTCTTGGGTAACTCCACCGTCGTTTTGGGGTAAATGGGACAACAATTGGGACAGGTTAAGTTATACTTCTATTATTATTGTTATAATTATAATAATATAATTATAGAATTTAGATCGTATACATTTTCTTGTAATAAATATTGCTTGCTTTTTGTTTCCCATTTTAAAATACTACACCTGTTTTTAGACGTCACCCAGAATGGTTAGCAAATGTAACTAAATTAGATAATGAAATAGATAAAGAAGGTCGAAAGAAAAGATCAATTCGGAGAAAAGCAGATGTGAAACATCACATACTCTTAGTTCGTCATGGCCAGTATCATACACAAGCTAAAGCAGATTCAGATCGAACACTTACAGATCTTGGTCGGTGTACTTTCTTTTTATTACATTTATGGTTTACTTTTAATGACAGTAATAACAAAATTGTCTTTAAATATCCTAAAGGTAAGCAGCAAGCCGAGGCAACGGGAAAAAGATTACAAGAATTAGGACTACCGTATTCTATGATGGTACAATCAACAATAGTTCGAGCCAAAGAAACTGCTAAGATCATAGAAAAGTATCTTACCAATTTAACAGTTAAAGAGGATTCTGTTCTTAGTGAAGGTATGCCAATTGCACCTGATCCACCAATCGATATGTGGAACTCTGAAGTAGTTGTGAGTATAAGAATTTTTCATATCATGATATATTATTAAATACTTAAAGTAATTGTTTATAATGTAGTTGAGATTGTTATTAATGAATTCTAGGTTTACGAAGATGGACCTAGAATAGAAGCTGCATTTAGAAAATATTTCCATCGTCCAGAGTATAGTCAGGAGAAGGATTCTTACATTATACTCGTTTGCCACGCAAACGTTATTAGATACTTTGTATGCCGGTAAACTATTTCTTTTATATTTTATATATCACGTACAAATATGTTATGTACATAAGAGATAACATTTTCGTTCATATCTATCGTTTGTCTCAGGGCATTGCAATTTCCACCTGAAGGTTGGTTACGTTTAAGTTTAAATCATGGAAGTATTACATGGGTAACTATTCGCCCTAATGGAAGAGTAACATTGAGGAATTTAGGTGATAGTGGCCACATGGAGCCACAGTTGATCTCATCTTATTAAGAATGACCAATGTAACTTAATTTTCTGAATAGTAATAACATGCACATTTTAGTTCTATAATTTATACTCGGTTCCAAGA